TTTTTTGGTTTGTTTTTTTTTTTTTTTTAAACTTGGGGGACATCACCAGAAAGATAAAGGTTCCTTTGTTCTTGGAGACCAGATTTAACACCCAGTTCGCATATTAAAAGAAAAACATGAAAGCAGAAGAAAAAGCCACGAAACAGAAAATTATAATCTGCTTTAGGAACATTATTTCATTATTATTGTTTCTGTGCAAGTCCATGGAAAAGATTATAGATATAATACATTTAACAATGTTAAACTAATTTCTTAAGTAATTCCAATTTTTTTAAATGTAGTACACTGGATCTGCTTCTACAGCTTGTGTTACTAACTACACTACAGAAACACTGCCTCAATTGCAAAAACTCAAGGACTTCAAGTATTACTTCCCCTCCCCCTTCTGCTAGGCATGGTAAAAATGTACATAGGTTACTGACCAATACAGGTATTAAAGACTCACCTGCCTAGTGATGGTGATCTCATCATTAGCTTCAAATCCCAGTGGACTTAGCTTCTTGTCAGAATTATCAAAGGTAATAGACACCACTGCCTTAGAAATTCCAGCTTGCCCATTTTTATAAACTAAGTCTTGCAAGTTGGAAGCTCGCACCTAAATCCATGGAACAGATAAATACATTTTTGAAATAAATTCATTACACAGCTTCAGTGTGCCACTGTAGGTTTTGGAAAAATGAATGAAAAAAATGCAGATCTAGTTGTAGATCTGTTAAGTTCATGTGAGAGACTGACATATGGGAGCAAGGTGTTAGCATTGTAAAACCACAGGCATTGTGCCAGTCCAGTTTTAGTGAGCCAGCTGTTTCTGTATGAGATTCCTGAAAAAAACTGAATAGATGTTTAAAAAAAAAAAAAATCTAGATGACTAGATCAGTCACCTAGATTCTTTATTCATAAAGCAGTTCACAGGGAAATGAATCAGTGTTCTTTGGAGGTCAGCTGGATTTGTCTACAATTACTTGGGGGGACGGGGGGAATTAAAAAAAAAAAAAATCACCTGAAGACAGAGATTCAAACCGATCCCAGAGCACACAATTTTTTTAACATGAGTAAAGCAGATATAATCCTTTAAATAGCAGGCATTCCATGAAAACCAGCTTTTTATTTTTTTCTGATGAACAGGTTGGCCAAATTTTAAGACCCAATCCAGAAGTGAAAAAGTTTATTATAAATAAACAAGTTAGTGCCTTTAGCTGCAAAAAGATTTCAGCTGAGGCTGAAAAGGCAGGAACCTTTTAAGTGGGTATTTTTAGTCTAATGTTCTAAGCTGCATACTTTGAGATACTGTAGTATATTGATGAAACTGTAATTCCATCTTACTGTAAGAATGAGCAAGAATGACAGAGACTCAGTTTTATGTAATGAAAAATCCAAATAAATAAAATTATTTTTAATAGAAGCATCACTTCAGGTTTTCCATAGGAGATTACTCAAGAGAGTAATATGAACTGTTGTTGACAGAAGACAGACCTTTCTTAAATGCAGCTCTCCTTACCTGTGACAGATTGGAGATTCCCAAAAGGAAACAGATTGAGTCCAAGATATTGGACTTACCACTACCATTCAAGCCAGTAATGGCATTGAATAATGGGTCAAAGTCACAAATTTCTGTCCTCTGAGCATAGGATTTAAACCCTTCAAGAACAATCGACTTGATGTACATCTTCTCTTTGTTCCTAAGGGACAAGGTGAAGTATTCCTCCCAAGAGTATGAACAAAAATATCTGGATTATAATCCTACAGATTTCAAAGAAGGAAAAAAAAAAAAAGGCAAACAAATCATACTGCATGCCCAAACAAACAGCTAAATGTGTGAGAAAATGGAAAGAACACATGCCTTTTACAACACAGTATTATGCATTTATAAAATTCCAAGTAGACCCCAAATTCAGGAAGCATCCCAACAACAACCTGTACTTCAACATTTTTAACCGACGTGACTTTACATGTTGTTCATCACGACACTCGTATGAAGACTGGGGCACGACCCCAGTTTATCACAAAGCTGGCCGTTAGCCCGTCAGCCAACGAAGGACAGGGAGAGGCCCGGCTCTTTCATAACACGGCGGAAGGGCTGCCTCCCTTTCCAGCCTGCAAGACTGCCGCCCGCTCTGCCCCACCGCACCAGACAGCTAAAGCCCA